CTGTACTCACAAAAACATTCCGAAGGTTTTTAAAATAAATGATTTGTAATGGTATATGCATGAGTGAATATACGCATAAAAATGTAACACTCTATTCAATGTGTATGACAGACATACACGATTAATGTCAATATAAGAACGACTAGATCAACCCACCCACCCAGCCATTCAAATGTGTGCCATTGTTTTATATACAGTAAGCTTAATCGTTCCATTTATGTTTTATAAAAATCTATGACAGTGTGTAGTAATTATAATTCCTTACCTCATTATTTTTAAAACCTTTATATCACTTTATAAGTAATCATTATTAAGATTTATCCAACAAATCAGCACGCAAAATCCAAAGATGACCGTGCGATGCCACCGGGCGCCGTAAGATAATCGTACGATGATCGGGCGGGACACGGCCGGGTAGGTACCGATGAGTTTGGTTGAGAAAAAATCGCCAAGACATCGGCAACTTTTATCTCCGCGATAAAACTCTGCCGGCGCCCGTACGATGTCTAAAAATCGGCCGATGAGTGGCGATCATCGCCCGGCGCCCGTACGATGCCCGGGCTCGCCGGCCGATTTTGAACAAAATACTCATCGGCCGGGCGCCGCAGTGAAAATCGGAGCCTATGTGACCAAGGCATTACTGTGTCAACTTAGTAACCCTTGCATATCGTGCTCACTCAAGTATTGAATAATTTTTTTATGATCTAAATGTTTGTGGTTTGTAAAAAAAAATGTGATATGTTTTAGTTAGAAATACATTAATTAATATATTCATTCAAACAGCACTAGAATGCGGGAAGAAACATGAGAAAGAGCAATGGTGACAAAATGCAGACAGAATTTTCCGTAAGGGTTTCAAACATTTCTGAACACAATCATACATGTACTTTATGTGTACTGTTATTTTTAGTGCTATATTTATAGATATAATTTCACGTATTAAAATCATATTTTCCAGCAATGACTTCAAATTCGGAACCACACCCATATCACATTTTCTTCAATAACTCCAAACATGTGTAAACATTGACCATGTGCATATAAATTCAGATTTCACGAGCTCTTTCCTCGAGTACCTCATACACCCCTGCATGGATTTGAGTTGGATTCGCCTTTTATACGTGAGCCGACACACTCGCAAACGCTGATTGGATAAAGATTGCGAGAATCTTTAAACTACTACTGTAGAATCTCATCAGATGTTATCATGTTATACTATTTAATAATGTAATATTGACATTCTATTACTCTACACATTTTTATTGCTTGCACCTGTTATTGCAGAAGAGACCTTTAATCATTTCCATTAAATCAGTTTATTTTCTCAATTACGTACAATATCATACTTTACACAATTGCATGTACACTTCTTATAATATTTCACAAATCATTGTAAATACCATTATGTGGCACCTAATACTCCCTCTTGGGGATCATAGCCACTACAACCTGTAAATATGTTACATTGATTTTAATAAAAAAAGAGTTCACACAACTTCACATCTTGCTTCATCAAGCTTCGGACCTATCCTCACCTCGGGATAGAACGTAGTGATTGAGCGTGGGAACCGACGATGCAAAGTTCACACAAAGATGTCAAATTCTGAAACATGCAATCCCCACAATTTAATACTGAGATTATGATTTTTCTAAAGAAACTCCAAATCAAAATATTTTATTTGGTATATAATTTTATAATAGAGGAGTGTTCATTCATAATGACCTTACATTTAGTTACTGAATTGAAGAATAATTAATAGGCGTACTAAAAAGTCCTTATAGCTACGTGAATACTCTTTGACGATAGAAGTGGCAGTTGATAATTAGTTTTGTAAAAAATGAAACATAGGCTAAAATTCCAAACTGACCAAATTGAAACTGGCCATTACATCTGTTTAGCTCTTGATATTTTAGATTAATCCCCCCAAAGGCCTCTAACATTTTTCACCATCCATATTGCGGACCAAATCTATTGTATTTCCTGTATTTCCAGTTTGACATGTTTTGTATATTTATTTATTTATTTTATTTATTTATTTATTTATTACAGTGTCACCCGTAATTATACGGCCAGCCTCCAAAGGCTTATGAGACACAATTACAATCATATTAAAATTCATATTGCCGACAATGTTGAAAAACGTAGGCAATAATATTGTATTGTATTTTTATATATTATATATGGAATAAATGAGAAATGGAAAAAATATCAAATTGAAATAACACGATATCTATTGTACTCCGTTGGCTCTAAAATTAAACCTCTTTCAAATTGCAATGCCTTACAACAAAAGACACCTACTATAGAGCTAAAAATACCCATTTGTTCTTTCTTTGAATTGAAAATATAAAATTCAAAATTCAAATTCAAGTCCAAGTACAGGTGACCCCAAAAACGTCACTCCTTAATTTGGGAATAACTATATCTCCGTTTTAAAGGACTTTTCATGATTTTTCGTGTAGATACAGAGTTAAATGCATAAATCATATTTGACGAGATTGTTGACATTTTTGGACAATATCACTAGACCATACCTGGATGGAAAATGTGATCATTTTAAAACTTGGAATTTAAACAGTCTATATACGCAGATAAATTAAAAAATCATGTTTGAGTTTATACTAAAATGAGAGGGTAATTTTCTGGGTCAACTTGAATATGGAGGTGTACACGTGTATTAGGGAGCACGCGCGTTACAAATGTCCTTTGAAATTCAGCAAAAGTAGAACTCTTTTGAGAAATCTTGGCTATGGCCCAAGTATGGCAGTCACATCACAAAAGAAATCGAAGTGATGGATAATAAATGCTATACCCATTCAAATGCTAAATATAAATGATAAGTACATGTGTGCTTTTCATACTAACTCATTTCAAAAAGTTTCTATTATTTGATATTTGCTCCTGGGGACTAATAAGCTCCGGGCAAGATTTTTTTGTTTGAAATAAAACAAAACGAAGGCGCAAAGATTTGTAAGAAAATGTGTTTTCATCAGTAGTAAGACAATAAGTAGTTGTTTTTATGTTAAAATAAAAAATAACAAATTTTATGTTAAATTAATCATTTTTTGAAAAAGATTTAAAGAGTAAATCAATTTGTTAGTATTTAAGACATTTGGTTTATTTCACCGGATATGAAGCTGCTTTTAAGTTGTGCGAAATTAATGTTATTTCTTTGCATAATGTCATGATGATCCGGGGTCTTCTCAAAATTAGACAATCCCAATCCTTGCCTAAGGTTGCCAAACTTTTGGAGAGAATTGTACAACTTAATTATGTTTTTATTTACTGGTCATATAAATTTAATTTAATGTTTCTGGTTTTCCACAAATATTTTTGGGGAAACCCTGACCGGGGGTTCGTCCGAACCCACCGAACCCCCGGTCCCTACAGCCATGCCCATGATGGCATCTCATTTCTTCTCAGCCCTGAGATATTTCAAGTGAAACAGAAAGATGCTATGAGTATCAGAATGGGATTCCCTTAGCCATCCTATATGGCCATACAAGCCTTATATGGATCTATCACTTGATATTCAAAATAGCGGACAACGGTCAGTTTGATTCCTAGTATATGGTCATGTAAGCCGAATCGAATACGAAGGCTGAACTTCGGGAGATCTCCCCCCTGACCTGAACGTAAAGTGCGATGCGCGCGCAACAAATTATGTAAACTCTTTAAGTTCGACTCAGGGGGGGGGGAGATTTCCCAAAGATGACCTATCATATTAGCACGTTCGAAAACAAATTTTATAAACAGGCCTCAATTTGACATTAAAATGGATCTCTAAATGTTTAATGTAGTTTTATGACTATTCTCTACAAGTATGGATCGAGTAACTTCAATAGTATTACCGAAGGTTTGAAATGATGATGTTGAACTGATGTAAACGCCATTCCCACGATTTCAAATTTAAATTTGCGCATGCGCAGCACTGAGAGAGCATGTGCTCATGATTGTTCACGTGATCGAATCCTGCAATTTGATTGGAGATGATGCAAGAGATGATGTAATGGGGAATCCCCGAAAATGATAGAATATGAAAGAATTATGGGGGCTACTCACTCCTCCTGAGTTCGACTTGTTTTATAATCCCATCGACGTGTAGATTCAATGTAATTTCAATTGGGTTAGTTGCGATGAACCTGTAACACGAGGGATTGTGAGTAAGGTTGAGATAACATATAACTTTCTAGTACTTATTTCACGGTCTCAATCATTTTATACGGCCATTGAGATGCGAAACTCTACCTAGCAAAAGTATGTTTATATATGTTCTTAATTTGAAAGTAGCATATCTGTCGAATACTTGAGTATGCATCTAAATTGCTCAAAATAAATCGTTTGTGGGTAAACTAGCCCCAGGAAAATGGCATATATTTCCTGATATGATTACCATAGCCATTTTCAAATATATGCTAGCACCCCTAGTTTACATATATTGAGCTAATCCAATTATGTGATGTTACTAAACAGAACAAATCAGAAGGTCTACCGCAGCAAACGATATGATATGTTAGATGAGCTTGTTAAATACGTTATTGCTCTTGATGTGAGATGTTGAGGACGGTGTTAATGCAATACCTGTACGTCATGATCTATAAATTAAATTCGTAAACTTAATATCAAAACTGCTTATATACGCCATGTTTTGAAAATGGAGAGCGTTCGCTTTTAGAGCGTCTGAAATAAAGAGCACACGAAATCGTACATTTTCGTGCACCTAAATAGCGAAATTATGTCTGTAAACTTTTGACACAGAATTTACACCATATAATATAGAGATAGGTACCGGACTTTTCCACTAAATATGTCAGGAATACAAAATAGGCACTGATTTTTATATTGGTGCACCCAAACTACTGAATTAGGTATGTGTCAAAAGTATTACGTAATACTTTTGACACAGAATTTACACCATATTCCAGAATTCGAACGTTAATCAGTTGAAACAATTATCAATATGCAATAAACCAAACATAATGTCTGTGATGATACTTACCAAACCAAGTGTAGAATTGATGCCTCATTTTGGCCAGCCAAAAGGAATCATCCTTAAAGTTTTTCGCCATGATGTTAAGGGGATGTTTAAACCTACTTGTGCTTGAATTGTGTGCAATGACCCAACTCATCTGATGAAATTATAAACACATCATATCTTTATCACTGGCGGACCCAGGAGACCCAAGCCTCCCCCTCCCCCTTTTTGAGGGCCCTGAAAAAAATTGGGAAAAATTCGTAAGGCCTAAAAATGGGCCTTTGGGGGCATTATTTGGCTTTTTACGCCATTTTAGGCGAAACTATCAACACTATCAACACTCATTCCCCCTCATTTGTTAACTTCTGGATCCTCCAGAATTCTTAACAGCTCGGTAACCTACTTTTAGAGCCTGGATATATCGAGGTGTCGCGTATCGCCCCTGGCATTCAACCTTGAGCCAGTATTTTACTTTTTTAAATCGAATCATCGTGATTCATTTGTAACATTTACAATTAAACCTTGACTATTCTGAAGGAAGCATTAAGCTGACATATATCACTTTTTACATTTTCATACAACTGTCGAGATAATACAAAGTTGACTTAGTTATAAATGTTTTTTAAGAAACGTATCCCATTGAAATAATACAGGAGTCGAAAATGACTTTCAAAAATGACTTTGATTTTTTTTATACATAAATTTATTCCTTTAATAAACAATAAAAGCCATTGATTGCCAAAGTTTTATAAAAAAAACATTAGCGGCAATTTTAGACAATATGAATAGGAATACATTAAACATTTAAAATTTATCAAAGTAATGTTATCACTCATATAAGAAACTATAATCCCATGGGCCAGGGATGTATTAACACATGCATACAAAAATTAGCCAAACCGATCAATTTGGCTCAGACTTTGATTAACAAAATGACTCATAAGTTCTATTAATTTTTCATTTAATGAATTATCTAAATCTTCATCACCATACAAAAGAAACTGAATTTTGTCAACTGTGTTCAAACTCTGAACCAAAATATGAAGATCTGAAGTTCGCAGTCCTGCAAATAAAGTTTCACGCTCGTTTACAAGCAGAGGACATTTTAAGATAAAATGAAAAGGTGTTTGTGGTAATCCACATTAACAAAAGGGATCACTAACACTGGTGAAATTATGAGCATACAGGGTGTTCCAAAAGTAACAGGACTGGTCCTGGCATTTTGTCAATTTCATATCCAGCAATCGTAATGTTAAATCGGACATCACCTTATCTCCTAACTGGTACTATTACTGAGATTTCGTATCAGCACTTTAGTCTACTAAATTATTGTTTAAAACTCATATATGTGAGCGTTAATGCAGGGGCATTTCATACAGCCTATAAACACCGCCCTTTCATTAAATGTGTTTTCTGGTTTCCTTAATTTCGCCAATTTCTTAAGAAATTGATGGATAATTTGAAGATTATATGATCAGACACATAAATATGGCATATACCACATAAGTTTCTCATATTTAGTTGTTGTTTTTTAGTTGCTGTTTTTTGTTGAACCATATATTACCTACATGGATAACGTATTTTATTTACAAGTAGGCTGCATCTTGTATTAGACCAACATAGCATCAAGTTTCACTAGAGCTGCTAAGAACACTTCTTATCAGATGTGTTGACAGCTCTCCTGATAAAGAAAGTGACCGGAGATTTCTGGATTTGTTTGCACTGAGTATCTTCAAAATTTCACGTAATGTACTTTCATGTATCGTTATCAGACTGCAAAGTTTCGACAAAATATATGAAACTCTGGTATAGTTATGGTTGCTATAGTAACATGACATCACAATACCCGGGGCAACATTCCACGCAAAAACTTAAAGAGACATAAAGCATTTTGTACATGCCATATCGTTTTGTACATACCATATCAAAGTTGAAATGCAACAACTCGTGTAAATTGTTTCCAAGTGTTTACTCTTAAGAAGTTTGCTAAGCTTCTTTAAAGGTCTCATTAGAGAAATTACTCTTGTGATAAGTTGATCAATATGGTCATTAAAGTTCAAATGCTGATCCAGAATTAGCCCCAAGTGCTTATGATTATTGCATCTAGGTATCAGTTCATCTCCTAGTTGTAAAGATGGAGGTTCAATAAGTTAGTTTCTAGTTCCCGTGAAAACCAAATCGGCGCATTTGTGCTTTAAAATTCATCTTCCAGGTATAAGCCCATAAAGCAAGATTATCCAAGTCATTTTAAATGGGTTGGTGCACATGTATGTTAATAAAATTCTCACTTTTCTCATAGGAGTTATAGACTGAAGTGTCATCTGCAAAAATAAAGGTTTTTGAATGCAAATTATCAGGAAGATCATTCACATATAATATAAAAAGCAGGGGTCCTAATACTGATCATTGAGGAACTCCAGCATTTATGACTAAATTGTTATGCAAATTATTCGTCCGCGGGTTGTTTGTATTGTCATTAGTATTTTCATTGGACCAATTCGAATAGCTATTATTCACTTTAACTTTAACTCTTCTGTTGGATAAATATGAACTCATCAGTTTAATAAAGTTTTCCTGACAACGATAACCTTTAAGTTTAAGTAACAAAAGTTTGTGCGGAACTAGGTCAAAAGCTGACATCGGGTCAAGGAAAACAGAGCGGACATTTTGACTATTGTCAATTTGAGTATGAATATCATGAACAATATTGATTAATTCTTAAAATCGCGGATTCGGTAGTATTGAATCTCTAATAAAGATGGCGCGAAAGTTTTTCCTTATAAGGTCAAAATATTTCCCATGATGCAGTTCGCGGGGGAACAAAATTTTTCTACCTTGTTTTTCCCCGTTGGTTTAACATGGGGATTTTCATACCCATTTTTCAAGCGATATTTTCGATCGAATCTCCATGCGATCGGAGAAAACAAACTATCAGAAACAATTAGTCTTTTAATAATCTTTATATAACATATATTTTTTTTCATTTTATTGGCTCCTAACGGGGTGAAAACAATGATTGAAAATGGGAGTATATTCCGGAAGAGAAGAAGTCACGTGACTAGTCGCCATATTGGAAAAAGCAATTCCATTCGACTTTCAACACGTTCATGCCAATATTACCGCACTACAAACTGTAACATCGATGCAACAACTGAATAAAAGTACTCATCTTCATATTACATTATAGAGTTACGTTGAAAACCCACAAACAACTGAGCATTTGACCAAAGAAGACACGTCGCTATTATCTAGGTCAAGTTTAGTGGTTCGAAAGCAAATCTTACATACTCGTTTCCGAATTTTGTTGTTAATTGTATAATCTTTTATTGATTAAATCTGGTATACTGACTATTAATTCAATGACAAAGAAGAAGAATTCCGATGGTGTCATTTTTTTATTTAGCTTGCGGGTGTAAAAACAAAATTGCGTAATTAATTTGATTTAGAACTTTCGGGTCTCACAAATAGCTACACGAAATGCATCGTTGAAAAATATTGACCAATCAAATTTTGTCCTTTTTGAGTACATATATGCACCATATATGCGAACGTTCTGATTCAAAGAGCGAACAGCGAAATGGAGAATTGGTTAACTGTACTGTGTTTCGGTAAAAAGCCACTCTGAAGTTTATAAATCAAGTTATTTTCTAAAAGAAATGATAAAAAGTGTTTATGTATAATTGTTTCAATTGCTTTTGAAAGGCTGCTTAAGAGGGTTACAGGTCTATAATTTGAAATCAAACCTTTGTCACCCTTTTTATAAAGGGGGGTTATGAATCCTTCTTTCCATATATCAGGAAAAATATTTTCTTTAAAAAATTTATTAAAAAGCTCAGCAGTTGGTATTGCTAGAGATTTAGCACAGTCTTTAACATTTTGTTAGATATATTGTCAGGCCCATGTGCTTTAGAAATGTCAAGATCTTTTAAAATGTTAAATACTTCGTCAGGAGTAGTTTTGATTTCCTTAAAAATATGATGAATTCTGGGTCTAAATATTGGAGTGTAATCCTCTGGAATAGTGACAATGTTCTTGCTTACAAAGTATTTAATTAAAACATAATTGCTTTATCAGAGCTGGTGGCTGCTGATAAGTTAGAATTAGGGTCAAATAAAACCGGAATTGATGTAACTGGATTTTTTCCAAGTAAGTCACGAATCAAAGACCAGTAGTCAACAGAATTTTGGAGGTGTTCTCAATTTTTTCCCGAATTTTAAATTCATGTTCAGATTTTGCTTCTGAAATCAATTTGTTCACTTTCTTACTTTGAATTTTAAATTGCGTATGATAGCTCAAAATGTTAGTGGATTTGTATTTGTGGTGAAGTTTGTTTCTTTTATAAATCTCCTTTTTGATGTTATTGGAAAACCAAGGTTGATCATTCATCATACCTGGTTGAAATAGTCTTATGAGATACATTTGTTTTAATTATGTCTAGAAAAGTTCTAACAAAGAGCTATTATAGTTTCTGAATTTTTTGATTCAGTATGTCAGAGTCTTCTGTTTTGAAATGCCATAACGTTTTCTTAATTGAGGGTTCTCTTGGAATATTTACCCTAACTTTGCTGACAATTGTACAGTGATCTGAGTTCCCAATTGGCGGGTCAACAGTAACAGATAGAAGATGATCAGAGTCAGTTATTAAAAGGTGAATGCATGATTTAGAAACATTTGTAATCCGTGTAGGTTCATTTACCAACTGTTGTAGTCCTAGGTCAAATAGAATATTATTTAATTCCGAGCCAGCTAAATTATCAATATCGTTGTCATACCAAATGTTATTTCTTGCATTAAAGCCTCCATTTAATATTACACCATCTGTTGGTAGCAAAAGCACTTGAGAAATATTTAACTTTAAAGAATCTAAGTGAAGTATAGTTGCATCTGCTGACATTGATGGTGAGCGGTAGAAAAAACCATACATAAAAACTTTATGTTGAGCCTTAACCTCTACCCAACAATTTGCTAAATTTCGGGACATTAACGTATCACATACTTTAGCCTCAATGCTATCATGTGACCATAACAAGAGACCTCTTCCCTCATTTGAAGCATACTTTTGAGTTCAATTCTTCATCAGTGACATTGCCTGATTCACAAAGTGCTATCAGATGAAAGTCACCATT